TATTATGATTCTATTTCTCTGAGAATTAACATGCAAAAATCCCAGAGATGTCTATTATAAATTGGCCTATATAGATTTTTACCATTCAAACATCAGAAACGTATCGAAAAAAACCTTGCAATCAAGGAGGAGCAATATATATGTATATATATATGAAAAATTCTATGGTCTTCTCATAAGTTTTTGACTGAACCATCCAGATAAATTATATCCAATTTTTAGGATACACCGCATGTAATTATGGGGTGCAACACCGCAATAAAACCGTAGAAATTATATATTGACCGGCTGATAATTAGATAAGTTACTAAAGATAAAATAAAATTAATAAGCTCCTCAACAAGCTCTATTTCCAAATCATGAAGAGTCCTGATAAACCTGTCTCATGAACTCATAAGATCCTCACTTAGTTTCTTGGCAAAACCCTCCTTCGATTCCGCCGAGTCTCCAAATTCTGGCCTGCTCTGATTTCAATTTTCAATCCCAAAATTCATCAGAGCCCACCTCGAAAATTCTTCTGACAAGGATGATTGTGCTCTCCTCCGGGTGCTTTTTCGTCGTATCAAGTCATGTGGGGACTTGAAGGTTTTTGACTATATATGGTACTAAGCAAATGTTCTTTGCTTGATGAAACTTATCATTAGTTGGTATTATACCACTGATTGTTCTCTATGTTGTGAAAAATAAACAAAGAATGCAACTTTTCTTGTTGAAAGAAAAAAATAGGAATCTTGGCGTAGATAAAATTTTAGGGAGAAAAAGTAATGAATATTTATGAAGATTATCTAGTGCTTTTAGTCCTTGTTTCTTATATAAGGTACTATATTTAATTCTGCGGTGATAATGATTCTTTCTCACCCATTAGCTACAATTATATACTAAACCATTCAGTTGACTGGACCGTAGTCACTCCCATATATATATATATATATGGGAGTGACTACGGTCCAGTGAACTGAACGGTTCAGTTGACATTTGTAGTTGTTGGATAATGAAAATTAATAATAACCATTTGATTAAAATAAAGTGTTTTAAAATTAAAAAAACACCACATCACACCAGATAATTGCCTCTCTAGTTGTAAATTATTAATACCGTTTCACGGCTAAGAAATTGTTTATAGAGATAATAATTTTTACTCAACCTCAAGCCTCAAGTCCTATTCCTGGTTTTTTTTAATAAGAAAAAGCATTGGCATTTCTCCTCCAGAAAAGGTTCAACTGATTTTTTTTTTCCAAAAACGAACCTCTAGATTCCAAGCAAGGATAAACACAATTTCATTTATTTATTTGGCTATAACAAAAATTAAAAGCTAATGGGGAATCGAACTATGCTGAATGACAACACCACGAGCCTCCTTGACTTTCTTCTCTGCAATCTTGGAAATAAGTTTAGCTTTAACGACGATCGACCAGTTTTCTCAACATTATACGTGGCGGCCTTATTCTTGGATTCATGGGGGAACCAAAGATAAAACCTTGTCGTGGAACTTATGGGAATACCAGAATATTAGGCAGAAGACTAATCGAGTGGAGATTGATCAAAAAACAAAGCAAGCCCTGAAGATGAATAATGCTCAATTTGGTGCTACAGCTGAAAATGTACATCTAGCTACAAATGAATCTTGCCGGTTTTCATGGAATTGGGGCTAATAATTTAGGGCTTGGTCCCTCAAGCAGTGGTTACCTTTACAGCTATGGCCCTCACGTTCATCATCCTTATTCCTAAAGGGCATTGATAGCCACCCTAGTTAATATTACCCCAGTGATGGTCATCATTAATCATCAATCTGCATCTACTTTAGTTTTAATGGTAATGATTAATCTGCATCAATTAATGAGTGGTGATGATGATTTTTAGTGGTGTCTTGCTTTGTTTTGACCTTTCGTAAGGTGGCTAATTAATCAGCTGTAATTTTTGGCATTGCAGGGTTGGATTGTAAAAATGTGCCACCGTGTTTAGCCATTGATATTGTTAGTAGTCCTCTTAAATATGGGGAAAAAAAGAGAAAAAAAGAAGAAAGGATGAACAAGTAATGAAGTTTTGTTACGATGTGGCAAGTCCTATAATCACATATGGTATGTCTCATATTTATTGGATAGATTTTAACTAGATAGTTCACTCAAAAATGATTGATTGGACCATAGAATTTTCCTATATATACTCCATTATAACAAAAAAACCAATTTCATCCACTTGTCAAGCTCTCTCTTTCAAAGTACCCAGTTGTCATGCTCTTCTTCAAAGTCCGCCTCAAAAACTTGCCTTTCACTTCTCAATCCTTCCAAGTTCCATCTCTACATGTTTTTTTTTTTTTAATTGGATGGCCCAGCGAAAATCAAACCCTCGGCCTCCTGGTAATAATCATCCCCATCCTAGTCCCATCTTTGCAGTTATAATGAAGCGTAACTACAATAATGGGGTATCTATAAAAGAGTACAATAATTGCAAATGGAAGGTAAGTGCCCAAAGTTATTTTCCCTATTCAAATCTAATTCAAGGTATCCAAAATTTCACACAATTACAGGAGAAACAAGGAACCTTATGTTAAAACTTTTGTTCCCTTTAGTATTCACATAATTACAGGAGAAAACAATCTTATGTTGAAACTTGTCAAGCATTTTAATATTACCCATTATTTCTTCCTTTTTTTTTGAAAAAAAAATTATTGCAATTGATAATACAAAGAAATAGTCATATACAACTTACAACATGGGTCTTTGGTGTGTTTACCGTGGATAAAACTATACTGATCTACCCATATAATTGACAGATATACACTGGTGGATCTAGGGTGGGGGCCATGGTAACCATGACCTCCATTGGCCCCACCCTATACCTTATATATAGTATATAATTTTTTTACCATTGTTTTTTTATTCCACGGTAGTAATTTATACTGAGTATGTAAGTTTGAATTTGGTTAGGAATGTATCTTTTATTAAAAATTGATCTTGTTGATCCGTAAAAAAGACACACTCCTAATCTTAATAGAATTCTTGTTTTCTTGAGGATCCACGCTTATTTGTTTTTTTAAATTTTAAAATAAAACTCCTAGTGCACCATCACACAGCAACGCCATGCTTTGTTTAAATTGGTCATTTTCCTCCAAAAATAACTAACGAAAAGGATCAACCATCAAGCAAGGTTATTGCCCTTTTAGTGTTTTGTTTTCAATTAAGGTTAATTTACTGATTTTATTTTCTAATTGATCAACTATATTTTCCGTATTTTTCTAATTTTTATTGTTGACTTAAGTTTAATGATTCTTATTATGATGATTAAATTTGTATTCATCTTGTTGTTTGTTCGGTTTGATGTTAGTATCTTAAAGCAATTCGGTTGAATGCTGAGTTTAAACCATTTTTTTTCATTTTGAAATGACGTTGGACTTATGTTTCGGAACAAATATTTTTTTGATTAATATTATTATGTTATGTACGGCCCCCTCTGTGTTTTCATCCTAAATCCGCTTATGCAGACATAGCACGTAGCAGAGTATGAATTTAATCTCAAATACATCTCTAAAAATCTGCTTAAGAACTCCAAACCACATATCTAAAAGTTAGATATGTGATAACTGAGTTTTCGTGGAACATACGTAACATTGTGACATCTTCAACGTTGCTATGAACACTGCAATCCTTGAATGTAGAGCAATCCACTGAAACAATACTACGAACAAGAGAATTCTACGCTCTCAATAGATTATCTAAATAATTAATTGAAGGACTAAAACTCAAAACTAATTTTTGGGAATAATCCCACTTATTGAAGATTATCTAAATTATTAATTGAAGGACTAAACCTCGAAACTACTCTTTGGGAAAGAAAGAGAATGAAAAGGAGAAACAAACAAACAAGACTATTTCCCCATCCTCTCATGATGAGAAGATGGGCGAAGAATTATTTTCTTGAAGTTGGCCAGTTGGGTTGAGAGAGAAAAAGAGGCAGCTACTAGGGTTTTCCCATTATTTCTTCTTTTTAAGCGTAGGTAAACTTATTTCGTCTTTTTCTTATGCTCTGCTCAGTTAAATCTGGTTTAGGAGTTGCACTCTATCATTTACGTTTGGAGACCAGTTCCGGATTGTGCTTTGTAGTGTTTAGTCATAGTTTTGTCCGGCGGCAAGTGTAACACCACCTCTGATTTTCTTTTCAATTTTCAAGGTTTCATTTATTTTTTGTGGAATATCATTTAATGGTTTCCCTCTGTAGAGGTTGTTATGAATTATGCTAATTAAGTTGTTGCGAGGGAAAAAGTTGAAGTTTTTGATTTTCCTCTTTTTTTTTGCGTTCACTTCTTCAGGGTTTTTTTTTGCATAAAAAGTAGAATGAGAAAGACATCAGTTTATAATTCATGGTTTTTCTTTTGTTGTTTTTTTAACCCAAAAAAAATCATTTGTTTTTGGTGTTTTGCTGTCTGAATAGAGTTTCTTGATACGGAATTTGGGGAAAATTCAAGGTTGAAGATTTGAGATTGAATATGACCAATATATGTCCAAGGTATTACTTTACCAACTCTAAAGGAAATAATGAAACGTCATGGTTGATGCATGTTTGCTTCGCAGATGCATATGTGGATTAAACAACTGATTTTTAAATAACATAGTTTGATTATTTTTAAATATAATAATAGTGCGAGGTTAGATAGGAGGTTTTTTGCCATTTGATTATTAGCAGTTGGAACTCACCTTCACCTCTGATAATGAGAATTTCTTGAATTGCTGATTTTGTAAGGACTGAAAATTCATATACAGGTCTTATATATTACTGTACGGATGTTACAATTAAGGGTTTCTGTTGTTTAAAAACTCATGTGGCTGATATAATTTGTTGGATAACTTTGTATAATTGTATTTTGTTCATCATTAAAGTAATAATTTTAGCTGAATTGCCCACCTTTTCATTGCTGATATTTTCATTTTTTGCTGAAGGCAAATGCACGAATACAACACAGTTTTATTTTAACATATAGTCTACTGTGAGATGAGCAGTATGCTTCAAGTTCCTAACAACTCTACTCTCACAAACTTTAAATTCCTACTTCCACGAGCAGAACAGAAAATCCTTTGCCCAGGATGCAAATCAAAGAGAACTTGCTCTGCTGAAAACACAGTTATACAAAAGAGTGCCTTCTCAACCCCTTCTTCTACGAAGACGCCAAGAGTTAGGCTCATTATAACGATCATAAACGGTTCGATTCGCTCCTGCCTCTTGCGCTTGCTCATTTTTGTTGGATTAGCCTCCTTGAAAAATCTTGGAGCTAACTCAACTAGCCACTTGGGATCGATCACGGTGACTCCGTGCATGTATTCTTTGGTAGTCATGAGCAACTCGTGGTAGATAACCCAATCCGGTTGTCTTTGAAAAAGCGCGCTACCGGGGAAAATATAAACCGGCTGGTTCTCCACAAGAGTCTTATAACCCTCTTGTGGATCCTTTCTTGCATCATGAAAAAAGAATCCCGCGGTAATGGCCTTCCTTACCTTGGTGCAATTCTTCCCCGCACTTACCACATCCAACTGGTTCTTGTCCATAATGGACAAGAGTTGCTTCCTTTCATCTTGAGCCCCCTTCAAAGCTTGAGACTGGATAAAATTTTCAAAACACCATGGCGCGGAGAAGTTCTTCATCTTCCAAGCCTCATAAACAGCGAGCAAGGGTAGGAGATCTCCCTCAGGCTGGACAAACTTAGCCTTTTTCTCATCAGCTTGATCTTGTTTTTCTCTGGGTCTGTAGAAGACATTGCCGGCTTGAACCATGGCGACTATGGTTAATATCTCATCACTGCAACCAAGATCCACAATGGCAAGAAGCATCACGGATAGAGGGGGTTCAAGGGGAAATTCAGCCATTTTTCGACCCATTTTAGTGAGCAGCCCCTCTTCATCCAAAGCACCTAGACTGTACAGCTGTTCCATGGCTGATATAAGAGCTTGAGGAGTTGGGGGATCCATGAAATCAAACGACAGAAGATCATTAATCCCCATGGCTTTCAGTTGTAGTACAATGTTCCCAAGATTTACCCTTTGAATTTCTGGTACTGTGGTTGGAGACATTTCATTGTGGAAAGCGCTTTCTGTGTAGAGGCGATAACACTCGCCTGGTTCTGTCCGTCCAGCTCGTCCTGCTCTTTGCTTTGCCGAAGCTTGTGAAATCGGTGTTATGACGAGGGAATCCAGTCCCTGCTTAGGATTGTAAACATTTAGCTTTGCAAATCCAGGATCGATCACGTACATTATACCATCTATAGTCAATGAAGCCTCGGCAATGTTAGTCGCAACAACTACCTTCCTCTTTCCCAGTGGGGCAGGTTCAAAAATCCTCGTTTGCATCTCACTAGGAAGTGCGCCATATAATGGTAAGATGATTAGTTCAGGAACATTTTTACCCAGCTCTTTCATTCTCTTGTGGAGACGCTCATAAGCATATTCAATCTCATCCCGACCAGTTAAGAAGAGGAGAATATCACCTTCAGGCTTTGATAAGTGGATTTGCAAAACTTTTTTCAGAGCTGCATCGATCTAGTCACTTTTAGGTTGCGTCGCGTAAAATGTTTCCACTTGAAAAGTTCTTCCAGGAATGTGGAATATGTTACAGTTAAAGAAATATCCTGAGAACTTCTCAGCGTCTAGATTGGCTGATGTGATAATCAGCCGAAGGTTAGGTCTCCGCTTGCTGAGTTGTTTAAGTAGTCCGAACAACACATCGGTGTGGATGGTTCTCTCATGAGCCTCATCCAACATGATAACTGAGTATTGAGTCAAATTCTCATCAACCAGAATCTCCCTCAGCAACATGCCATTAGTCATGTACTTGATCACAGTCTAAGGCCCGGTGCAAATCCTCGAAATGGATAGAATACCCGACCTCTTCCCCTACGCGACAACCAAACTCCTCAGCAACCCTCTTAGCCACAGATGTCGCAGCTACTCTACGAGGCTGGGTACACCCAATCTTACCCTTGGTAGTATATCCAGCCTCAGCCAAATACTGAGTGACCTGAGTGGTTTTTCCGGAACCTGTCTCACCTACAAGAACCAAAACCAGATTATCATGAACAGCCTGAATGATCTTATTCTTCAACTTATAAACAGGTAAACACCGTTTCTGATCCTGAATAGAACGCTTGGATCTTTGCCCAAATCTAGGAGCTTTTTCGTAAGCATCCTTTTTCCATTCGGCATTTCATATGCCGACAATCTAACGCCCAACAGCTCCTGCGCCAAATGTCCCTCACCCTTCTCAGGCATTGGGTCTTCCCACCGTATGTTCAAATCTTTTGGAATAGAATCCAGCAATGACCTCTGCTGTTGTTCCCTTACTTCTCTTCTCTCTTTTGTCAAAGCTGATTGAAGCGCTGCAGAACCGCTCAATGACCTTTCCAGATTCTTAAAAATCTTGACTGGAGACATGTCGATGGAGTATCGACTCTGGCCTTGCAGAAAAGGTGGTTCAGTTTCATTTAGCTCAATCTCGAGCTCCTCCTCAACATCTTCCCCCTGGTTCATTAGTCCATCTGTTTCCTGATCAAACATCGGATAGTCTCTAACACTCAAAACTCCCGAAGCAATAAGCTGTGTTGCCTACCATCTCTCAGGTGAGCTCATTCTCTTCTTTGGCCTCCTTGAAAGAACCGAATCATGTGCATCACTAATTCTTATGCCATTGATCCCTCTTCTCGAAATAGGACCGCCAAAGCTGCTCGGATTCGCTCTAAAACTGCCATCCTCTAAATTCTTCTTCAGTGTGATCAAATCCTCACCCGTATTTCGGTCCACATCCTTCATCGACAAGCCCAACTTCTTTCCATTCATTGAAACGACCTTCACATAAACTTCCTGATCCCTCTTCACCACATTCCTGGCATTTGCTACCTGCCTTCTCGCCATCTGCGAAACATGTACCAGCCCTTCCTTCCCATTAAAGCCACTTAGCTGTACAAAACAACCAGTGTCCATCAATCAAGACACCTTTCCTCTATACACCTTGTAAAGCTACACTCCGTCTCCCGGGTGCCGCCAATCATAGTTTCTTTCCCTCTCCTTTTCTTCATAATCATCTATGCTACTTGACCTGTGTTTTCCTCTTCTTCTTTCCCTATCCCTGTGCCTTTCCTGCCTGTCTCCATATATTTCTTCTTCTGCTTCCCTCTTGCGTTTGGATTGCTTCTCCTTATGGAATCCTATGGACTTCTATTTGGTATCAGAGCCCATGATCCGTGAACCTGTGATAACTATGGACCCATGTGTGCGGGCTTGTGAACTGACCCGGCAGTATATCCGGAGTATGTACCCGTTTGTACGGACGGGCTTGTTGACTGACCCAGCAGTATATCTGGTGAATTATGTTGTGTTGTGCAGCCCCAATGGGTCAAATACCCCATTGGGCTTGAGGGAGGGTGTTGGGACAAAAGAATCCCACATCGGTATCGTGAAGGATCTGTCACCTGTTTATAGCCACCCCACTCATTGCCAATTGAGGTGACTTTGACACTCCTTAGCTTCCAAAGCAATTTCTCGCTCCAATTCCTTCACTCTCTCTCGGCTATCAGAGATCTTCATACCAGAATAACCCGAATTCGCCCGCAACTTCGGGGGAAGGATGGCGTGAATTATAGTCAGGAGGGTACGAACAAGAGAATCAGGCATCTCAGCGCCACCTTCTTTAAGTTTGGCATCAAACTGATCTCTTCACAGTTTTTGCCCATCTCAATAAGGAATTCACCCAAAACTTTATCTCCAACCCCCAGATGGCTCTCAAGTTCAGTACATATCTTAGAAAGCAATGGGAGATACTCAAGTTTCTTTAGTGCTTCTGCTTGGCCGCCTTTGGAAGCCATGGATGGAATAGCAAGAAATTCACAACCCCAACTACAATACTAAACTGATAATCAGAGTAGAATACATAACACCTCTTCGTCAGCAAGGAAACAAGAATTGACTGCCGGAATCAAATTATCAAAACGGGAAGAACAGAGAAGCCCTAAGCTGTAGAACGTTGTAAATAACCAGAACAAAATGTATTGGGAAAAATTAAAAAAAAAAAAAGAAAACCCCAGAAAGCCTACAGAACTCACCTATATATATAAAGGTTTTCACTTTACGGATGGTTTTGTAATCTGCGGTTATATTTTTAGCCTATTATTATAAAACGAAACTAACAGAGTCCAATTCTAATAAGAACTCTTACAACGTTATATATCCCTTTTTGACAGGAACCGCCGCTAAAATTCAGGGCAATGAGCAATATTATCGGAGACTTTTCTCAACTCGAGAGATATATATATTTATATATATATATATATATATATGGGCATTGGCAATTTTTATGTCCATCATCAAGAGACTGTAAAACAATTGCCATTAGTGGCACAACTGATATAATTTGTTGAAACTGTCAAAGAACCATCTTTAAAATTCACGCTCGGAAGAATTATCAGCGGAATCATCAAACGTTCGTACCTCTTGGCTTCCCTGAAACGAAATTGATCAATATGTTTCACGGTATAAATTAGTACAGGAACAAAAATAAAAGTATGTTTTGATAAGGATTTTTCTTTTCTATAATATGGTAAAACAATAATTAAAATAATTTAGCAATAAATTTCTTTCAATAAGCCCATCTCAGAATTTTTTTTTTAATGTATAATAAGTATAATACAAGAATGGAAACACGAGTTGCCTTTTCTATTATCTATTAATAAGTAGGGAGACAATACATTTCTTTGGGAGCGTACAAATAATTAAAACTTCTGGAGTTTTGAATCAAAATGTGATTTCTTCTTTTCGGAAAAAAGAAATTAAATGTATGAAATGTGAGAGAAAATTTTGATATTAGTGAATTTCCATAATCTAGATTTTTCTTTTATTTAAAGAAACAAGTGATAAAAGGCAGAACGCAATAAAATTGGGGTTTTGTTATTCACATAATGCACTAATTTCTTGATTTTAGATTTCATCATGTTGAGACAGAGAGAGGGAGAGAGAGGGGGGAATTAATGCGAAGAAAAATGAAATGTCTTTAAGAAAAAAAAAAGAAGATAAAAAGCTAGAAATGGACCTTGGGATTTGAAGGGATTTGAAGGGGATTAAGTTGTTTGCAAATTCCAGATGTCGATCAATCTTTTTATTAGACTTTTTACTATGGCTTAATAATTTTCTCCCTAGGCTTGGGGGCAATGTGGATGTAAGGTTCATATGGCTCCGTAAAGGGACTTTGGTAGGCGTGTGTTTGTGCAAATGGGATACTTTTGCAAGAAGAAATCTTATACCTATATTTTGCAAGTTTGCCAAAATGCCAAAATGCTGTCCAAGCTTTCTAGATAGAAGAATACTTGTGAATTGGGAGATTTTCTTTCTTTTTGGTCACCTCCATCTTTTTGCTTCTTCTTTTATAACTTGTGCTTTTGTTATGAAAACTTCTTTTGTGTGAATGTGTAACATCCACGGTATATGTACAGGCTAGCTATAATACTTATGATTTAGAAACATTCTGCCTCGGTCACAGTTTAACGCATCTATCACAAATTAATAAATTAATTATTATTATTATTATTATTATTATTATTACCTAAAACAGGACAACAAAGAGGAGTTATTTTTCGAACTAAAAATGTGGCTCATCCGCCATTATAAACACACAATAAAGATGCTTACTAATTAAGTATATTTGTGCATGTGTAAGACATACTCAAATCTAATTTAAAGTTGAAGCAGTGAGTGAGGCAGGGGGGAGAATATTTGCTTTATTTGACAAAGAAGAAAGCATCTGAGGGATTACTGAATTCAAGACACATGAGACTTTTAGTTCTTTCTAGTTCATAGCTACTCCCTAGCCCTATCCTATACACAATCACTTAAAATCACTCTGATCACCAGCTACTTATTTCATGATCTTGTTCTAAACATCAGAAATTCATCATCATATTCTAAATGCAATGTAATGAATTGCATCACACTCCCATGAAAATCCTTTCCTTCACATTCTAAAAACGCTTTATATTATTCTTCTCTTTTTTTAGTTACCATCACCCCTTTGCAATCATTTCTTTGCCATATCTCACAGTATTACTGTCAAATTTACCTCAGCCCTGCATCCGCAGCTCTATCTAGGGATCGGAGACCACAGTGTTCGTGAGCGATTTCGTCTCTGCAGGCCAATCATGATGGTAGGAAGCAGAGTTTTCCAAAGAAGATTAATGTGCAGCTTTCATCTGCTGTTTTGTCTATCTAGCATTCTTGCTCATTGTTTCTTCACACAATGTGGTAAGTCTTGTTCATTATGTTGTGTTACATTAATCATTTTCTATTTCTTGCCACTTCATTTCTCTACTTCACTAGACTACAAGTTACATCTTTCATTTGCATTTCCACTTTCTCACTTCCAAGTAACATCAGAATCTAGTTATTACACATGCGCGCGCACAAAGACAACTCTACATGCACATTGACATGAATTTGCATTAATGTATGCATAACAAAAAGATTATGTTACACAATTAAAAATCTCGTATTGGAAATGAAAAGATGCGAAACAACGGGATGAAAGAATTACACTCCCCGTTTTCTTGATACTTAGTTTGTTTGATTACACATTCATTAATAACCGATGATTGAACAAAATGATCACGAACAGGTGCATCTAGGGAACTTTCTTCTATGGCTATCTCGCCACCGCCTCCACCGAATACTCGAAAATCAGATGCAAAACTAAATGGCCTAATGAAACTTCTTCTTGACATGGTGAAGCCATTGGATGATAATCCTCAGCAGCCAACATCAAGTGGTACTAATTCTCAGCCTTATGGAGTGGGTTCTCCTTTCACTTTGCCACCTTATGATTCCCTGGCTCCTATTCCCCTGCCTCAAAATACCCCTCCATTTTGCATTTATCCTTCCCCACCACCAGGCCCAACAAACCCAATCCCCAGCCCACCAGTTTCTTACTCCCCATCATTTCCCTTCCCTAATCCAAATCCTAGCCCAACCACACCTCCGTATATCGGAACTCCCATGCCGCCTGCAGTTGTCGTTCCAAGCCCACCAGAGTCCATCCCGAGCCCATCTACCTATATCCCAAGTCCATCAATACCAGTGTTTAACCCACCAACACCGGTATTCAACCCACCAAGCCCATCATCAGGTGGAGGCAGTGGCGGCGGCGGTGGCGGCGGCGGTGGATTTGTCCCGACGCCGGTGTTCTTGCCACCCATTGTGTACCCACCACCGGCAGTTCCTCCACCACCATACAGGGCTCCGTCACAAGCAATGTGGTGTGTGGCGAAGCCCGCAGTTCCTGGCCCAATCATCCAAGAGGCACTAAACTATGCTTGCGCTTCCGGAGCAGAATGCAGCGAGTTACAGCCTGGTGGGCCATGTTACGAGCCCAATACATTGATAGCCCATGCTTCATTCGCATTCAATAGCTATTGGCAAAGGACCAAAGTGGCTGGAGGCACTTGTGGTTTTGGAGGGATTGCAATACTTGTCACTGTGGATCCAAGTAAGCAACATTTATCATAATCTCATTTTTTTATAGTGACATAGAACTTAGGAAAAAATGTATTTATGGAATGGATTAATAACTTAATCACTTTGTAATTATGAATGATGACAGGTCATGATGGGTGTCATTTTATGTACGCTTGAGAAATCACTTTCTTGGTTTGTGTTTTCGATCAAAACTGAAGTGGGAAAGGAAAAGGAGAAAGAAAGGTGTGTACACTGTATAGCAAAGGAAACAAACAAATGAAAGGGATCAACCCAAGTGACGATCAAAGAATAGCAGCAATAAAGGAAGCATAACATACTTTTTTGAATGGAAAGAATTTTTGTAATCATTGATGTACATTATACCATCAACATCATAAACTCATTTATTTTTTTTATTTTTTTATTTTTGGGTAGCAACATCATAAACTCATTTGATTCATACACAAAGCATATAGACAGTTAATTAAATTGTAAGTGGTTTTCTTAGGACCATTCATTTTCTATTATATTCGTAATAATTCTTGCTAAGAAGAATGCCCATGTTGTGGTTCATTCTGCTTTCTGTTTTACTTTCATTGGAGTAAATGAAAAAAAAAATCATAGTCTTTTCGTCCCTCTTTTTTTGATAGAAACGTGAATTTCATTGATTTGTTGAGAATCCGTTCAACACAGAATGAGGTACAAAGTTAGGGATTGAATCCCAATAGTTTTCAAACTCTGGACTAAGCCATTGACAAAAACATTGAACCGACGGTTAAGTCATTCCCAATCCCATTTTATTATTTAATAAATTGTTATATTGTTTTAATTTAACAAATATTTTAAAAAAGAGAAATAACGGATATAAATTATAATCGTTAAATAGAAAATGAATTAAAAGACTTTATTTATTTTTTTGGTAAGCGAAATTAGAACAATACACTTTGCTGAAGTGACTGACAGATTGAGCATAATATCCAAAATACAAGATGAATTATTTTTTTGGCGGCAAATTTTCATTGCGATAACCAATTGCGACAGATGATTTCAGGGTGTAATTCTTTCTGCGGCCTATTTCAAAAAGCTCATACCAATAAGTTGAGACCTCATCCTTGACCATCATTTCGGAATAGGAAAAGTCATCCTTTCTTACTGAGCTCAGCTTCCACAAATTGCTCCTATAAGATTTGGGTTTGGACTGTTTATTGCTGCTGAAGGTTTTTGTGAATGCTTGTCAGCCGGAATTAGGAAGCAGAGTGTTCTTGGCAAGGCTTTATCATGGCGGACCCAATTGATGTACCAAGGGTGAAATTGGGATCTCAAGGACTTGAAGTAAGCTTTGTTTTTTGATTTTCATGTTTATTAGTTGCAATCTGAAATTCAACTGTAGTTCAGATGAAACTATAGGGTAAGCTATTGTAATGTGTACTTTTTGTATTGTCGTATAAAAATTGGCTCAGACATTTAGGTTTGGGCCTTTTTAAAGAATTGTTTGTGATTTTGAAGAGGAAACTGACACGGGTTTTCTTTCAATTTTGAATTCGAGTGAAATTTGTGAGCTTAATACCGGAACTTTTGAGGAGAGGAATTTGGGACTTTCCCTCTGCAAAAAGATTGAATCTTGCATCCCCCAAAATTTTGTTGACATGGTTGACATACTAGAATTGATATATAGAATTCTGAGTAAAGCAAAGCTTTTTCCTTTTTGACATTGGCTGAGCACTTTTACTGATAAACAAATGACCTACATGTTTGTTTGTGTATTTAGTATTTACTAGTTTCTTCCTTGTTCTCTGTCCCTGTTCAGGTTTCAAAACTGGGTTTTGGCTGTATGGGTCTTACTGGAATATACAATGATCCTATGCCTGAAGCTGATGGGATCCGAATATTGATGGAAGCTTTTAATAAAGGAGTTACATTTTGGGATACTTCAGATGTCTATGGTGTGGAACATGCAAATGAGTACTTGGTGGGAAAGGTGATTTATTCTTCTTCAACTTTTGTTGAGCATGTTTGCTCTACAAAACTATGTGCAGTATGTGATTTTCAACTGATAGTTTAGGTTGTATAAACGAGACTGTGAAGGGTATCAAGAAACCAGCCTGAATTGTTGAGTCGAATTGGTTAACAATCCTTAAAGTTTTTGCTTATGGTGCTGCGATGAACTTACCTGTTTAATGATGAAAAGGTAAAGAAAAAGGTGATATCTAAAAGAGTTTCGAGAGTGACAGAAGTCTGACTGTTCCTGGAGCTGTGAATTGCTCATATTATGTATTAGTGAAAGTTATATATTGTATTCTTTTGCCAGAGTGTGAACAAACCAAAAGAAACTAAGAAAAGCACTTTGCATCCATAAAAAGCATCTATGCAAATATCTTTGTTCAGAATTTTGATTTTTCTTGGTACACCACTTTCATTTAATTCCATTCTAGCAGTTTTTATTCTTTCTTGGGAAGCTTAACTAGCATTCATAGCAAAAACTTAAGATTTCTTTTTGTTACTTTATTGATTCCGTTTGTTGAGCATGATCGATTTGTTGCAGGCATTGAAGGAACTTCCTCGTGAAAAAGTCCAGTTAGCTACAAAATTTGGTATATACAAGATCGAACCCACTCAAATTACCGTGAAGGGGGCTCCTGATTATGTTCGCACCTGTTGTGAGGGAAGTTTGAAGCGCCTTGAAGTGGACTATATCGATCTATATTATATACATCGAATAGACACTACAGTGCCCATTGAAGAAACTGTTAAGTGTTCCATTGAGACTCCCGTGCCCAGGCCAAGAAAACTGTGTTTGCTTGTTTACTCTAATTCTTGTCTGCAAATGCCCTTCATGTTATTTATTTGGAAATATGGGTTTTATTATAGTTATCATTAGAAGGCATTTCTCTTATGAGGATGCAATGTCAAAGCACTGAAAATGTTTTATACAATTTTTTACAATTTTTTTTTTTAATTTTTTTGGGTGTGTAGGTGTGTGTGTGTGTGTGTTTTGTTTTTTTGTTTTTTTTTTTTTTTTTTTTACATTTGTACGCTCACATGTGGCTACTTTCGTGTGGCAGATGGGTGAACTTAAAAAATTAGTTGAAGAAGGTAAAATCAAGTACATTGGCCTATCTGAAGCTAGCCCGGATACAATAAGGAGGGCACATGCTGTTCATCCCATAACTGCTGTACAACAGGAGTATTCTCTGTGGACACGTGATATTGAAGCAGAGCTATTACCTGTTTGCAGGTTGGAATACATTCAAAATGCTCTTTATGTTGGTGCCTTTGTGCCATTATGTAAATTTCAGAACTGTTTTATCATCGCTTTTTTGGTTTCTTAAACTCTCTTGCTGGATACTTGGTAATGGATTCTTTGATAATGCAATAGTCTCAATTCTTGAATCACTTTCCTTGAAGGTTCACTAAATTGTTGGTTCATTATGGAATTAAATCAACAGGGAACTTGGAATCGGGATTGTTCCATATGGTCCAGTTGGTCGTGGACTATTTGGCGGTAAAGCTGTTGTTGAAAATCTGCCTCAAAATAGTTTCTTGGTATGGCTGGGGTAGTATTTTACCTTTGTATGGCCATTTTTCTTGAATATGAGTTTCCTTATGAGTAAAATATGTTTCATTTTAGAGGGTGAGATACGTGTTTTATCTGTCTGCAGGAAAGACATCCTAGATTTACAGGAGAGAACTTTGAAAAGAATAAGGCTTTCTACTTCAGCTTATCAAAGTTGGCAGAAAAACATAAATGCTCCACTGCCCAACTTGCACTTGCCTGGGTTCTTCATCAGGGTGATGATGTTGTACCTATTCCTGGTAAGTACTGCGCAGAGTAGTTTTCAGTTGACTGATAGCAATACCAACTATCTCATTCAGAATGGTATAGAGATGCGCATGATAATATAGACCTTGCTTATAGCTGATGTCACCATTATAAAGTACACTACTCGGCCATATACTTTTGCATGTTGAGTTTTTCTAATTTAAGTTGTCAGTATGAGATTCATATTACATTTTAGTTGCTATGAGAAGGCACTAATTTTCACCCAACAGCATCCTTTGCTGTCGTCACAAGAGAATTATATAAACCTGTGTAATTTTGTAAAGAAACATCAACAATAGAGCGAGCAAATGGACTGTTAAATCTTTTACTTTTGGTCATTGTGATTCTGCATCTGAAGAGTGGTCACTGAAGTGTAAAAAATAATCAATGACATTGAAACTGTAGAAAGAATCTTCCGATGGAACTAATTAATAGTTGAAACTTGAAAGATGTTTTGGTTGTTCGAATTTGTTAGATAACCGAACATGAGAGGAAATGTGTTGTGCCTCAACCGTTATGAGTACCAAGATCATTGCCCTCACAAGATTAGCTAAAGTAGCAAGTTGCATTACTTTCATCTGCTTGAAATTCCTCAGAATCTGCATTTTTTAGTCAAGTTGCCTCCTGGAATTCCTTATTTTTATGTTGACATTAGCTTCTTAAACTGGGCTTTTCAAAAAAAAAAAAAAACTGGGTCTTTCTCCCGCTTCTTTACCCACGAAGATTCCTCATATACATTTTGCTCAATCCATGGTGCTTACACACAATGGTTATGCCCGGTAAATAGAGTCAAGACTATTTTACAAAGCTGGTATTCTTGATAAGAAATAAGATGTCTTATAACCGAGCAGTGCAAATGGAGGAATATGTGATTCTAGCTATTTCTTCTCTGTTCTCACTAAATGTTTCTTTTTTCTTTTTCTATTTGGCACAAACCTTTTCTGCCAATCCATATTGTGGATGGTTCAAAAAATGATGTGTTATTTGATACATAGACATAACCATGCCTCGTTATGCTTCTCTTTCGTATAGTCTAAGCAGTGGATTTTTCTTATTGATCATTGAATCTTGAGCCTTTGATACATCAGTTTTTTGAGTATAGATTAACTGAGAGTATCATTGCATTTTTTATCAAGTTGCCTCCTGGAATTCCTTCCTCAACTTTATGTTGACATTAGCTTCTTAAACTGGGACTTTCTCCCGCTTCTTTACCCGCGAAGATTCCTAATATACGTTTTGCTCAATCCATGGTGCTTAAACACAATGGTTATGCCCGGTAAATAGAGTCAAGACTGGTATTCTTGATATGAAATAAGATGTCTTATAACGGAGCAGTGCAAATGGAGGAATATGTGATTCTAGCTATTTCTTCTCTGTTCTCACTAAATGTTTCTTTTTCTATTTGGCACAAACCTTTTCTGCTAATCCGTACTGTGGATGGTTCAAAAAATGATGTGTTATTTGATACATAGACATAACCATGCCTCGTTATGCTTCTCTTTCGTATAGTCTAAGCTGTGGATTTTTCTTATTGATCATTGAATCTTGAGCCTTTGATACATCAGTTTTCTGATTATAGATTCACTGAGAGTATCATTGCTCATATTTTCAGTGCTACTATATGTTGGCACTTTGCACCGTATGACGCTAAAATTTTCTTTCCCTTTCTGAATATCGACTGGAACATTCCTGATGCTAAATGAGATTCTGTTGTGCTGACCTTCACAGGAACAACTAAGATAAAAAATCTGCATGATAATATCGGTTCAGTTAAAGTCAAGCTAACAAATGAGGATTTGGAAGAGCTCGCTGATGCAGTGCCAATCAATGAGGTTGCAGGACAGAGGATTGGGGATACTCTTTTCCGTACATCATATCTCTTCGCTAACACACCACCGCCAAGGAAATGAACACCAAATACTCAATCGTCTGGGGAAATGCAAAATCTTCTTATTCTAAACATTTCAATATGTCAATAAAAAGTCCTGTTTCTATGTTGTTAAATTTCTTATCTCCTCATCAGTTTGATTACGTGCCCTATTTCAATAGAAACTTGTTTCGTTGATGGAGTTTCTTCGTGTCTGGCCTCAAAAGTTCTTTTTGAAATGGAACAAGTCAGCACAGTTACCTTAGTGGCTGTGTTCCTATTTCTTTTTCCCCTCCTCCCACAAACTCTGATGTCAATCATGGAACTGTGGGGGGTTTCAAGAGCTCATTTCATAGATTTTTCAAAAGAGAAATAAGGCCGCGAAAAACAGATGCATCGAAGATAGTGAACTTGCCACATTGAAACATCCTAATGGTAGACCACAAAATTGTTAATTCCTCATTTTTCCCACGTGATTCAAGATCCTTCAACCTAAAGCTGGTTTTTCTCCTGGTAACTGGGAGGTTGTTTGTAATCAAGTAGTGTTTGAACTTGGCCACGGTCCTTCACCCTTCCCCCGTCTGCAATCTCAGAAGAGTCAGTACTTTTGCAGATTTCTTGCTCATGTTTTTAGCAGTTGCCTTTGTCTTTCCAATATCCATTGTACCCTTGCAGAGCAGAACTTGAGCAACCTAGAGAGCATTATGAAGACCATTGTCCAGAGAAACAGGCACTATACCATATTTGATCCCAATTTCAGTACTAAATTAGTAAATTTTACTTCAGAGGTACTCAAATTTTTTTATAATACTTGCTGTTATCCTGTCCAAAACCTCTCTTTCCGCAACATAGTTGACATGGGAAGCTGTAAGTAGCGGTGTTCCTGAGCCATCACTGCAATTCTTGAAGCTGAATAGGAAATCTGATGAGTATGATAGCATTTATTCATGCAATGTCTTGCTTTGCAATAATAACAGAGGAGGTTATGTGGAAAAAAATTTTGTGTCTCCAATCCTTTGACAAAACAGAAGACTGTGCTTCCCCAGCTTGGGGAAATATCAAAACCTGTTGCATAGGCACTGATGCCTGATTCAGATTGCAATTCCCTCAAGTTTAAGGTCTTACGTCTCTTCAGAAACAGAGGAATGGTTGGAACTAACTGACCAGCTTGCAGCGTTAAGTTACGATTTTAGGAATGGCTCTAAGGTGTTTTTCAATGGATCCCTTTATTGGGATTGCCTCAAAGGCCACCACATTCTCGTTTGCCATCTTATTTTGAACAATAAAAAACGAACTACTCCTCCAAGGTCTCTATACTATGTAGGTGTTTGTGAAAATCAGAACGCAAGCTTTCACTGCTATTGCCATGGAGTTAGGGTTGAATTTAAAGAATTTTTACTGCTTTGACACTCTGAAGAAGAGGAAATATTCAGCTGGAGACGGGAGGAACATTGCGATCCATTCAGGATTCTTACTGATGTATATTGGCACCCTCACGGACTCAGTTCAAGATTACTTCTTAAACCTTCAGATGTAGGAGGTTTAAGGGACTCCTGATCATGGCAGTTTTTGGGTTTTTTTTTTTTTTTTTGTTTTTGGTCAGAAATCGAAAACTTTCTGCCAGTCACTATAAGTATGACATAAAATCTAGGTTATTTCTCTGCACGAAATGGTTGGATTCAGTTGAAATGTTGAACTGTTATTTATAAATATGATAATAATTATATGGAACTTCATGCAAGATAACATGAATATATATCACACTGAGATTACTCTTTTTATTTAAACTAGCACTTCTCAGAGAGTAATCATCGATCATTACTTAGTCAATATATAGTCTCGTCGCACTTGGGTTGGAAACCACAGTTCGCAACCAACTTTTGGCCATTTGCGGAGCCGATAATATTCTTGTATTTGGGATCCTTGAGCCACCTACAAACGCAGGGCTTCAGCTGATAACAACACTTCTCCGACGGCGATCCTCCCGTCGTAAGCGGCTCTATACATGGACTTATCTGTCTGTCATTACAATTTGCTGCCCTTCCTTGAACATCACCAAGCATCATCATCATCATCACTACCATGGTCAGAAAGATGATCATGAGTTGAGCAGCTGGCTTCATTTTGCTTTGATGAAAAAATATGCTGAAAGTAAAGTATATAAAGTTTGGGTTGGTTTTCTGGGAATGATCAGGTCAGTAAATTTATAGTGATGGTTAATGATGTTTTGGGTTCATGTAACTTTGATGATAGTAAGTGAATCCAGTGAAATTAGGGGACTCAGGAAGCGTGTATTTTGTGTGTCGGGATTGATATGTAAAAAATTTTACAGCCTGCGAAACAAACAAACAAACAAATTGCATTCAATATTGTTGTATGAATATATTATGCGTGATGAAAGGAATTTGACACGGTTTTCATGAGTAGATTTGATGTAATATACTCCATCTATCCGAAAATTCTTATCCAGTTTAGATTTTGGATTTTAGTTCAATTTGTAATAAAAATGAAAATCAAAACTGAATAATAATTTCGGAACGGAGGGAATATTTTTTTACAGTCAGTGTATAAACAATTTGTAGGAATTCTCTGTTGTGTTATTTGAGAAGTTGATTTTTAGGAAATGTTTGATGGTTTTAGAAGTGAAAATTTATATAAAACAAATTCCCATGTGAATCATGCGGCTAAGGATCTTTTCTATACAAAATTACTATACAAAATTTATCACATTTTTTGTGCTCAATTATCATTTTTTTCCTATATTTTACTAACACCCTAAATCACTTTTGAGACCATGTGTCAAAATTTTTACTGAATGAGCTATGAAATGATGTAAGATTTTTTTTTTCTTTTTGGGTAAAAAGTGAAGACTTATATTGATCAAAACTGGAAAACGTTTTCAATTACATAACATACTACTGCCTATACAACTGTTATGAATCTATCTGCTTATACATACATTTGAACTCCAATTCTGTTTTAAGTACAAAACTTTTGAACATCTCAGCTTCCTCCTGCTTCCCTGCAATTTCCATTCCAGTTCCTGTTTAATATTTGCAATTCTGTCTGATGCCAGCTTATTCTCTTGCTGAAACCTCCTCTTGTTGCGTTCAATCCAAACATGATAAATACAAGCCATGATGGCTCCACATGCTAAACTCTTCTGAATCTTGCTGTACTTATACCCATGTAGCACTTTGGTTAAAATCTGTTTCAATTTCACCTGTCCAATCCTGAGTTCTAACCATTTCTGTAATTTAAACCATATGCACTTGGCATACCGACACTCAAACAGCAAGTGGTTAGCATTCTCCTCCACCCTAGCATCACAAAGGACACATTCCTTCATTTCCACTTGGATGTTTAATCTCTGCAATCGTTCAACAGTCATTAATCTCCCTTTCACTGCCAGCCATCCTATAAAACTATGCTTAGGAACACACCCCTTATTCCAAATGACAGCAGATTCTCATCTTTAAACTAGTATTCATATCCATTTCTAACACAGTATGGATTATCACTTTGATCCCAGATTCCTGCTTGTACTGCTTCTTTTAGCTTAGTTTTAATTTGCATAAGCTTTCACCAATGCCAACTACAATCCTCAGGAGGTTCATATTCCCATAATGATCTCCCTTTCAAGTAATATTCATTAATCCTTTTAATCCAGAGAATATCTTTATTGGCATTAATATCCCATACCTGTTTAGCTATAGCTGCCTGGTTCCAAACTTCAGGATCTTTGATGTTGAGTCCTCCTTCTCTCTTTGGCATGCATACAAAGTCCCAAGCAACCAGAGCAGCTACATGTCCTTCTTCTCTTTTCCCCCAAAGGAATTCTCTGCAAATTCTAGTAATTTGGGTAAGTACACTCTTTGGCAGTAAAAAAGAGTTACCCAAGTACACATGCATGGATAAGAGAACTGAGCTGATCAATTGACAGCGTCCTGCATACGAAAGGTGCTTAGTGCTTCAACACTTTATCCTCTTAGCAATTTTGTCAACTAACTGCTGGCAGTCTCCTTGATTCCATTTGGTAGGAGAGATAGGCAGACCAAGATATCGCATTGGGAAGCTTCCATTCTCAAAACCCATGATCTCTTGTAATTTAGCCTTCACATGAGGCTCAACACCAACACAGAAGATATTAGACTTACTGTGATTGACATGAAGCCCCGTGGTTTCTCCGAAATGCTCCAAAACTCCTTTGACTCTCGCCACAGTATGTTCATCTGCCTTGCATAGGATGATCAGATCATCTGCAAATCCCAGGTTGGTCAACTGCAACTTCTCACATTTGGGATGGAACTGAAATTACCTCTGATTCACTTCGATCTTGAATACTCTGGTGAGATAGTCCATAATCATCACAAATACTAACGGGAAAACTGGATCCCCATGTCTCAAGCCTCTCTTTCCTGCAAAGTAACCTGTGCTACATCCATTTAAGTTTAAGGAGTAAGAACAGGTACTAATACAAGCCATAAGCCATTTCTGGAATTTCAACGGGAATGCATAGGCTGCCAATATCTCCTCTACGAAGCACCAACTAACTGTATCATAGGCCTTACGCAGATCGACTTTCATCATACATCTGGGACCTACATTTTTTCTTCTATGGAGCCTAATTAATTCCTGTGTAAGTAAGATATTGTGAACTATCTTCCTATCTCTAATAAAGGCTCCTTGGTTCAATTCGACTAAATCTGGGAGAACATTGCTAAGCCTTCTACAAATTACTTTCGTAATATATTTATAAAAAGTATTACAATAGGAAATTGGACGATATTCAGTGGCATTTTTTGGACAGTCAACTTTAGGAATCAAAGAAATAATAGTAGAGTTGAACTATTTTAGAATTTGTCTAGTTTGGAAAATTTCTAATACAGCTGCAACTATATCAGTACCCATTATACTCCAGACTTGTTCGTAAAAGCCAGCTCCATATCCATCTGGTCCAAGACTCCTGTTTGCATCGATCTCGAACAAAGTTGTTTGAATTTCCTCTCTAGTGACCTCACTGATAAGCTCCATTTGCTGTTGAGTAGTTAGCCTCTTCCCAGCAGCAAAGATAACTTCCTTTCCAGGACTTCTTTTGTGTTCTTTCCTCAACATCTCTTCAAAGTAAGTAATGAAATGCTACTCAACCTTTCCCCATTCAGTTTCCAGGCTCCCATCTTCATTAGTATAGGCCATAATTTTATTATGAATTATGCGTTGCTTAATTCTGGCATGGAAATAAGCTGAATTGAAATCTCCTTCTTTCACCCATCTTTCTTTAAGCCTTTGCTTCCAGAAACTCATAACTTTCTTGCTACTCCCAACATACTCTTTTGTTGCTGCATTTTCATCCATCTGTAACTGAAAGTTCCCCGGGTCTGATCTTGAAACTGCTTGGATTATTTCCAACCTATCCTTATCTTCCTGCATCTTCATTTCAATGTCTACAAATCTGGTTCTGTTCAAGTTCTTTAATTTCTGCTTTAGCCTCTGTTGCTTTGTGAACACTTGAAATTGCTTGTAGCCCTTAACTTCCTCTTCCCAGTGCTTGGTAACTAAATCTTTAAACTGTGGTTCGTTACTCCACATGTTAAAGAATTTAAATGCTTTCTGTTTTTGCCTCTTCTCATGCATCAATTGAACCAGAAAAGGTGAGTGATCAGACACCCCTTCTGATAGAACAGTTGTGTAACTCTGCTCAAATTAACTCAGCCACTCTTCATTGATCATGACTCTGTCCAATTTAGCCCGAATTTGTTCTACCCCAATCCGTTAATTATTCCAAGTAAATCGCCCTCCTATGGTTTTCAGTGTCTGAGCTAACCTCACTAGCTCCTCCACTCTTTTCAGCTGGTTTTAAGATATTATTAAAATCTCCAGTAACTATCCAATGTTGCTGTTGATTGCCTGCCAAATTAAGTAAACCTTGCAATAAATCTCGCCTACCTATAGCTTGCGGGTCTCCATAAACTACTGTTA